GAGACGAGCGCACTAACCATGAGGCCACCGCGCCTCCCATGACATATAACATGACCATGCCATTGACAAGAAACAATCTGTCAGAAGAACAAGAAAATACATGTACAATGTCAGTCAGTAACATGATAACACTTGAGACCACCGAATGATGGAGTGAAATGGTAGAATTTTTTGGCAAGCTTAAAATATCATTGTATATTAATGTTGATAAACCTTCAAACCACTAGAAAATCTCATGCATAAAGATTAATAGTCTCAATTTTACAATCGTACTTCTAAATTTCCCTTCCTGGCATTCTTTTTGTTTCATAATCAGTTTTGTGATTGTTAACCTGTTTTGTTATTCAGTTCTTCTTGTTCATCTGTGTATCTGCGTGTGAAAATGGCCCTAAGGTTGCTGCTGAATGTAATATTTGACCTCTTGCAGTGAAAAAGAAGTTGATCCGAGAGTTCCCCGATGTTGATGAGGTTGTGATTGATGTTTCCCTTCGTACGGTAAGTTTACTGTGTACTCATATTACATGAATTTGAGTGCTCATTGTACTGGAAAACTGCATGTCATATGTGGCATAATTTGAACACGAGTCAATGCATTATTTTTCTAAATCACTACATTTTCATTGGTAGATGTCACAAACCCACCATATTATTTATAATAATAATTATTGTTCATTTATATAGCACACACATCCATGATTTGCCCAAGGTACTTTACAAAATTATCCCTAAAACCACAGTTTTACTCTAAGAAACTTAGAAACAAAAACTAGCAAAATACCTCAAAAACTAGCAATCTAAAAAAATTAAAAATATGATAAAGAGTCACTCTTAATGATACATTATGATACAGTAAAAGTGACCCAAAGGTCATAAAGCTGCTTTAACTTGCCATTAAATAAATACAGTGTACATGTTCTCTTCAATATCAGTCTTGACCATGTCAAGTTACAAATACTGTGGGGAAGAAATTTTGTTTCATTGCATCTGGTGATTGGTTTTGTCTGTTTGTTGGTGCATTTGTGGTTTCATTTACTCAAATTTGGTTCGCTTGTTTGTGTTTACTTGTATTTATGGCTGGTTTTCACAGTCACCTCATGAGAAAGTTATGTTACATGTATACATGTATGTAAACTATATACTCAGAGTTTTAGCTCCGTGAAATTACACTGTATTGTGAAATCCATTTTCAATTTAATGACATCACTTGAAAGCAAAGAATGAACTCTCATTACTTTTTTAGACCAAATATGATGAGAGCCGCGCCAGGGAAATAATAAAGAAGTTGAAAGGTACATGTAATTTAAGTTCAATCTTTTATCCAGATTTTGATGCCATTGTAAAAGACTTCCTTATTGCCCAGGGTTGACATAAGGCAGTGCTCGTTTATAATCCTGTGTTGATGGCAATGCACAATCATGTATTTCAGTATTTCATTACATGTACAGTATGATCATGTTGACTCTATTTGTTGTGTTGTAGGGGATGACGACAAACAAAGTGCACCTGCAAAGTGAGTTCATACATGTATAAACTCTTAACATTTGTAGTGGATTTTTACTTGCACTGTTAGTTAGAGTAGCAGTGTTGTACTGATTTAAACAGTCATGTAGCTTTACTCTTTCGAAGAAAACATCTTATCAAATACATGTACATAACTTGGTTAACATGTGATCATCACTTGTGTTAAGTGAAGTGCACACAAAGGCAGTGGGTATATTGCATCTATCATCATCGTCGTCGTCATCATCATCATCGTCGTCGTCATCATCATCATCGTCGTCGTCATCATCATTATCGTCGTTGTCGTCGTCGTCATCATCATCACCACCATTGTCATTATAGTTGTCATTGTCATTTTCATCATTTTCGTCATCGTCATCATAGTATATTATCATCTCTTATCATTATCTCTCTGCATGCTAGTAGGAGGATAAGGCTAGTTGCACATTTTAGAAAATTGCAAGTGATACTAGAGTACGAGACATTTCAATCCAGTCCATTCAGGCAGAATGACTGAAGATGACTGTTGCATTTGAGCCTTATTACATATTCAGCCGGTACGAAAAAATTAGAACTTGTGTGAACCTTGAAAACACATGACATTCATTTTGAATGTCGTCTTGAATGTCGTCTTTTGAAAAGGTCGTTAACTTCCTTTCACAAAGTAACAAAAGCAGCGAACAACAACCAAACTCATACATACAGCTGTACTATTGCATTTACTTTAACGTGCTATAACGCGAAGTCAAAACACAGTGAGTCAGTCGAACGCAGCAAAACGCGCGGCGCGTTAATCCCCTCGCGTTCTTAACGCGTTATTAACGCGAAATTTGGTTCGCTTAATTCTGAGCGGTACTGTACATGTATATGGCATAGCTTGGACCATTAAGACAAATTTTGTCTCCTGTACATGTACATGTAGCTTAATGGTATAGTATTCATCCTACACGGGTGCACATACAATGTAGAAGATGACGATGCATTTCCCTTTAGGTTTGACTTATGTTGGAACAACTCAGAACTTTTTGTGAGCAACTTGTGTGTTGCTGATAGAGCACAATTGTCTGTATCTTAACAAATTCTTGATTTAAATTGAGGTACACTGTAATTGATATCAAATTTACAGCCACCTCCAAATCAGTGAGCACAATATAAAACCCTCTTCTTGGACAATCCTCTGTAACACGTGACGTGTGTAATGAATTTACCAATTTTTGAGATTGTCAATTTTAGGGCCACAAAAAAGGAACCAGGCAAACCCAAAGGAAACGCCCCTGCTGCTTCATCAGCCAAGGCTCAAGCTGCTGCTGCCGCCAAGGCAAAGTCTTCTAGTCAGGAGCTTCGTGCAAAGGCCACTCCTGCTGCCGCTGGTGGTGGTGGTCTTGCTGCAGCGGCTACTGCTGCTGCTAAGGCAAAATCTTCCAGTCAGGAGCTTCACTTGAAAACCACTTCTACTGCGGCCCCCAAGACAGTCAAGTCAACATCACCTGCACCTCCAACGACCACTGCACAGAAAAAGCCAGCAGCTACCCAGCCCAAACAAGCTCAGTAAGCAGACTGCACTTGTCTTATTCTGTGATTATTCATTAACAATTGATTTCAGCACCTTATCCTAGTCTCCTTCGCAGCCGTCATTAGGGTCGTCACGCAACGCTTCTCCCCACTGGAGAAGCGTTGCGTGACGACTCTGATAACGGCTGCGAAGGAGACTACCCCTTATCCTAGCTCTCCTTAACTTTTGGAAAGTGCCATTGGTCAATGTATCGGTAAATATCGGTATATATAATTCGATTTTTTGTGCACAAGAATGGTCTTTGAAGACTAACCGGCCAGATCTTGATTACCCTCTAAATTTGACAGTACATTGTGTGCCTTTTATGCGTCAAAATTTGTTAACACTATGATGCGATCCTCCAAGTCCTTTTTCTGATGTAGATGTGTACTGTACAACATTAATTTCAAATTGATGGTAACCTTCAAATACCGGTTTTCCAAGGTACATGTAGAAAGACAAGGATGGTTACGCCTGAAAAAGATTGAAAATAACCTCTGTTTTTTGTGTGTGTAACTTCAGAATACCCGGCCATTTTTGAACGTTAATCTAGATACTGCTCCTTTTTTCCGAAATGAGGAAATAAATAATGGTTTGTTTTTCAGTTCATACCCAGGAAGTCCCGCGGTCCCGCAGTCCCGCACCCCCGAACTGCCCCCACGGTCCCGCAGTCTCTAAATCCTTTATCGATCCTTTAGTCGAAGAATACTGAAAAGAAAGAGCAGTGAAATTTTTCAAAATGCGTCGTGGAATAAATCATATTTTGAAGCCGTTTCAAGTACGGTTAAGACTTCCACTGGTCTTATTTGTTGGTGTTATCATAGTTAATAGAAAGGGAATGGTTATGAACCCCCGACAAATTTCTTTGTTGTATGGTTTTCTCTTTTTTTGGCCTTGACCGTGCTCAAAGCACAATAGTTGTTCACACCTGACTGAGGTACTAAGCAATAGAAACGTTTTGGTTACGTAATGTCTGAGCGCAAAACAAAAGATTGTGCACGGTCGTGGACCTTCCAGCATAAACCTTGCCATCTTTGTTTGCTCCTTTGATGTTTGAAGGGCTTCATAACCATTTCACTCTTAAAACTATGGTGTTGTTTATGAAATACTCCTTTAGTTAACATTTCTATGCAACATCATGTGTGTTTTTCATGGACATTGACTGGGTTTTAAACAACAACATTTTTGACAGACATGCAGTGCAATGTAATACCAAGTATTAGTAATTAGACAATACGTACTTAGAAAATTGTTTTTGCGTGACGTAGATTATATCATACAAACTTGTGATTTACACGTGAGGTAGTTGTGCAATCCTCATTACAGTATTTGGGTCGGAAAACACAGTATATGGGCACACGAGAAATAAAGCTTCAGATTCAGAGCATTGAGAAACTTCAGCGGTGGTTAAGGAGGTACAGTATGTGAGCTAAAACAATTGAGAGTAGATAACAAATTTAACAGTTGTCTCCACATCCGTCAGACATAGATATGATGGGTCAGTCACGCAACGTTACGATTTGTCGGCCACATTCAGTTTGTCCAATATTGATAACGGCCGCATGGATAACACAAAATTGGCCCGACTTTTTAAAAATCTGTAATAGGGCAAAAGAATCAATTCGGGTTGGGTCGATTTTCATCCACGCGTTTCAAATAAGGCAAGAAAATGAAGCAGACAAATCGTAGCGGGTAGAATGTTTCGTTCGGAGGAGCCAGCTTTTGACGAATCATACATGTACACGTAGCTTGCAAATGAACCTGTAGGGCCTCTATCAGCCCCTCTCCTGAAGGCTTCTTACAACGAAAAAGGAGCCATCGAATCTATCAAAAGAGTTTTCTTGATTTTTTTAAAATGTTTGCTTGATACATTGCTTGTAAAATATACATGGACTTGTGTGTTTACTGCACGTGACTGTTGTTATGAAATCTACAAGAGTGTGTTACATTTTTTCGTATTTTCTGAAACGCAGTGGCGTGAATGTTTTTATGTACACCTGTAATTGAAATGAAAATAACTTTAGTTTAGTGTCAATGCTCAGTAATGAAACTAACTGAGGACACTGAGAATAAAAAGGTCAGTATGGCTGTGTGTTGTTTTTTTAGCTAATTTAATTTTTCCTCTCCTCTTTTGTCTTAGACGCGAGATGGTGTCGGTGGCCAGTAAAACCTACAGGTCTCCTCTCCTGTCTGTTCCTAGTGGACCCAATCCAGCAAATGCACAAGGAGCAAACCCACTGATGCTGCTGTGAGTATTTATGTCTGTACATGCAGAAATTAAAGGTGTCAATTTTACACAGAGTTCAACTGAATGCGGTTCCGCGTGACTTCGGCCTTGTCAGTGAGCGCACTTTACACAAAATAAATCTTCTTAGCTTTGGGCTTCAGTTTTCGGGTGTTAGGAGTCAAAACTGGTAATCAGTCNTTTTTTTTTTTGCAATAGGCCTGAGTGGGTTCAAACTGAAGGCCCTCAGAGGCAGAATCGTGCGGGACCGCAGAGAGGCATTCGAAAGGGACCTGCCAGGCGACCCACCACCAGAAAAGTGCCCTTAAATTGTGGTACGTATTGAGCTAGATGATAACGTTTTGATATATGCATTACATCTGTACTTCGCACGTGTTACTCCTGGTTTACTTTAAGCCTAAAATATCACATGCAGCTGTCACGGAACGCTCCTCTCTACTAGGGGAGAATAACGTTGCGTTACAACCTAAATAACAGCTGCCAAAAGGGTTTCAAACTCAGATAAAGCAAAAGAGAAACTATCTAAACAAGAAGCAATAGATTTTGTTATGCGTTGTTATTTGTTTTGTTTTTCTATTTCTGGCACTCGTCAAGTACTTTTCTACAAAGTTCAAATTTTTCTTTCCTTGTATCCACTTACCCATTTTCCCGTCTTTTCCCTTACTGTATCCCGCGGGGGGTGTCCAATCGATAGAAATCGATGATCGGAAAAGCAATCGATCAATCGATACCAATCGATAAAATTAGTTACTGTATGCACTCTTGTGTAATCCATTACTCCTTTCATTTTCCTGTGACAGGTGCTCAAGCAAGCAATCACAAGGGACCCAATAATAATTTGGTTGTAGGATCAATGTTCTGTCCTGTAAGCCATTTCTAAAGCATGCAGACCTGGAATGCCTGTTGAACATGAATACAACAGGTCTTTGCCAGTGCAGTGCTGCTCCAGTACTTTGGTTTTATCATTCTTATAGACGCTTGTAGTGTTAGGTTGAACTGATAACGCTATCCACGGGGTAAATCACTGTATTTTCCAGTGAATAGCGCAGTATATTTTGTCAACGTTTATCCACTGGATAATGCCTTTTTTTTCCGTGGTTATTGCGTTATTGTTGCCATGATGTATCTAGAAGAGTCAAAACTACCGCTCTCGGTAATCACCCACGTCTTGTTTTTGTACCCCTACCCGCCCAGTTTTCCCTCTATTAAGGGTTGAATTGCAGGGACATTTTGGGGCGAATAACCAAGTTTACTCCCTCCTTTCCCTTTACATTAGATGGCGGGTTAGCTTCTCGAGTGCAGATCTTATAAACACGTTCCTTATTCCTGTAAACGAATTGTACATAAAATTAACGTATCTACGATGTCACTGTACTGACATTTCATGGTGCGTTTTAAAATGTAAATCCTTACAATGTTTAATCTCAAAGACTTCTCGCAGTTGCGTACTCGTAAAAAATTCCTCGTCAACGTAATTATCTTAGTCAGCTTTTGTAAGCTGTAACGGTAGAGTCTACCAATTAATAATGTTGATCTCGTGTATATCTTGTAAGAGGTTCGATGTCACTCGAGAATATGATAATATTATTTAAAGGCCGTTGTAATTTTACGTCATTGTTTTAATATTTTAGTCAAGATATTTTATGCCTTTTTCGGTTTGCAACTACAGTAACACCGCATTAAATAGTAGTGTTGTGAACTGTTGTAAAACGTAATGAAATTACACAATTAAACAATGCTTAGCAACAATTGTGTGTACGGAAGGTGGTTTATTATATGGCTAGTTCAGTGGGCGGGCAAGATGAACCGAATCCTGCTCTGCGAATGGTTACCCGAGTGGGAAAGATGGCTCTATCTTACCCGCTGTTGACCGCAGAAAATGGTGTTCTTTTTCCATATGAAGTCCATATTAACTAAGCTTGGTCGAACAAGGTGGCTGGATGTTAGCCTCGTTCTCGTTTTGCGTGTCTATCGACCTGTAGCTCAGTCCATAAACATGAAAAAAAAAAAAAAAAAAAAAAAAAAAAAAAAAAA